AATGTCGAGTGTAAACAAAGACACCAAATTTTATATGTAGCCCAGAAGCGTACTAGAAAATTTTTTATTACTTGAATATTAGATAGTTTAGGAATTTTCAACATGCTACACCATAGTCATATTGAATTTATATTAGAAACAGAACAAAATAAATCCATATTTTTTAGATTTAAAAATTATCAGACTAAACAAACATGAGTTCTCCGTATTTTATAAACCTACCCATGCTGACACGACTATACACAATTCATCATCCAATCATACACAACATAAATTGGCAGCCTACCATAGCATGCTACATAGATTAATAGAAATTCCGAAGCAAAATACAATTTTGAGATAGAATTAAATACCATTAAGCAAATAGCAGTAATCAATGGGTACAAGCGAACAAACAATTAATAAAATTTTAGATAAAAAACTACGTAAGAAAGCCTTGAAATTAGTATTTCCACCACCAGAGAAAAAACCCAGTACCTTCTGCTCGATTACATATACAGGCAAGATATAACAAAAATAGCCAAACATACAAAAAAGAAAGTAATAACACCAGCTTGTAGAACAAACAACAACTTGTTTGATCTTGGCAAATATGTTACAAACAACAAGAGCCAAAATAAAAAGCACTTACACAATGGTGTATACAAACTTAAATGTGGCTACTGCCCAAAAACTTACATCGGTCAAACTGGTAGAACTTTTATCAAACGTATAGCAAACATAAAAGAACTTTCAATAGTAGAAAAACAAATTGTACGTACGCACTTCACCTTCTAGATCGCAATCAGTCTTTTAATGACGAATTTCAAATTCTTCACATACAAAATAAAGGCCTTAGCTATCTTTATTAGAATCTATGGAAACTAACAAATTAAAAAATATAGACATAATTCCGAATGACCAACTTGAGACAAATAGTTCTCATTTCTCAACCTATTCAGTTAAAGGCGAAACAGTGTAAACACATGCCAAAAATAAATCACTTGAGAAAAGTATTATAATAAATTTTGGGGAAGTTTTGAAAACAAAGTTTTCAGTGTTTTATTATTGAATAAAATGAATTTCTATCAAGTAACGGTCGAAGCCATTACGTCATTTTCACTCCAAAAACTCAATAATTACAAATATCACTAATCTATATAAGTACACTTCAGAACACCTGCACCAAATTAGATAATTCTTTTTTTGTTATTATCAGAGGAGGTTTCTGTAAAACACAATTTTCAAAAAATTATACGAAAAGACGTAAAAACAGTTTTTCTGTATTTTAAATCGCAATATAAATAATAGATGACTCCATATTATAACTAACAAATGAAGCTATGATTAACAAAATAAATGTCAGTATTTATATATTGACATAACGACATGACTGTATTTAGTATTGCTCCAAATAACGATATGTTTCAATATATCAGATGGGAAGATGTCAATGAGGCGGTTTGGAGAATCTCTTCAATTTCCATACACAAACAGCATCTCACTGTAGTTACCTAAGCTATTCACTTGGTGAATGGACAACGACTTTATTTCACGAGATAAAACGCAACGCAAAGAGCGGAACGATCACCAACGACAACGTTGAAAAGGTAACTTTTAGGACAGGGACATTATATATTGTCAGGTAGATTTTAAGTTCAGCGATAAGCCAGAAACTTTTTTATTAAAATCGAAAAACATACATTGAAATAGGATAAAATAAAATAAATTAGAATAAAATGGAAGAAAGTAGAATATAATATAGCAAAAGAAAAAAAAACAAAATAAAATTAAAAAAATAGTATTGAATAAAATAAAATAGAGTAAAATAGAATAGAAACAACAAAATAAATATTCGAAAAAAATAAAATAAAGTCAAATAAAATAGAATAAAATCGAGTAAAATAAAGTAACCCAAAATAAAATTAAATAAAATGAAAATAGAATAAAATTATCCGAATTCTGCAATAATAGTAGTATATTTGATTAAGGAACTTAGCAGAGTAAGCGTCGCTTGAGACACACAGGACGAGACATTTGAACTACTCTGGCGCCAATGTCGGTAAGCATTGGATCTGCATTACCGGCCTAGCATCAACCAATTAGTCAGGATCGAAACCGATGACGTCATAGTTTGACTATTATCCGCTAGGCGGCGCTAGTCATTTTAAATTATATTTTAATTAAATCAATTTTACAAATAACATTAAATTAATACTGTTTTGGCTACGGGGTGGCGGCGGTAGGGTGAGGGGGGCGGGGGTACTCGATGTGTCGTCGATACATGAAAATAGCGTAAACTCTTCTTCTCGTATGAAATCGTCCAAACGTGAAATAGCATCAATTCTTCTTCTTTTCGTATCGTTCAAACTTGAAAATAGCGTCAATTATTTTAAAGCGTAACAGGGGTTGTTGGAAAAAGGGTGCGTTGGCTCGACGGATTGTGACGTACAAAGGGGTCGTTGTAAATGGGGACGGGTAAGCGGGGGTATTATATTTGGCAAGGAACCGCAAAGTGGGCGACGCCTGGTGGTAGATTTCAAAAGCATCCACTTCGGGAAAACATTGAAATTGTCATTATTTTGTATACATATTAGCGACCGGTTTATATTGTAATATACAATGACTTCGACTTCAAAAAACTATTGCAGTGTTCCTCAATGTTCATCCTATTAAAATTCACAAAAAAAATTCCATACATAATTTTCCGCTGGACGAGAATATGAAAAAAGTTTGGCAATGCATTTTGTTAATTGGCAAACATATATCGAAAGAATATAACTTTCCAAGTGTTGATTAAAATATTATTTATATTTTAATATATTTGTACTTAATTTACTTTATAGTAACACCTGAATCTAAATTAAGAAGACTGAAGAAAAATGCTGTTCCATCAGCTAAATTGCCCCAACAGTCCCATGAAGTTATTAGTAGAAAACGTAAGGCGCAATTTACAAAATATAACGTAGCCAGCTCCAAAAACTGCCTCACCCTCAACTAAAGATCTCTGCCGATCTTGCAACCATATAAATTAAATAATTAAGATAATGTAAATTTTACTTCCCGTGTTCCAGACATACTATAGAAAAACAAACATGTAATTTTATTTTTATTCAGGTTTGGGAGTCAATTACCTTATGTATAAACTTGAATCACAAACAAATAAACTTTTACTTTGGCAAAACACACATGTAAATGATTTATATTAAACGTTTTATACCTTAGAGATCAAATGATAAAATGATTTGTTTTCCCGAAGTTATCGTCCATCTTTAAAATCTTCAGCGGAGATATGGAGAAGCTATGAGCATATTAACGTGTGTATTAAAAACGGCGTAGGTAGGTGTGGCTAACGATAATACCAATATGGCGGTGGGATCATGGCCGGACTCAATAATATTAAAACTACTATAAAAATATGGCTAGTTATTTAGAAGATTTAATCATAATCTAAAAAAGTGCAATACATTTTTAATAAACTATGATTTATTTATCCGCGGTAAACACTAAAAACACGATATATTATACATAACGATAAATTAATACAGTCAAATACTATTAATTTATTCTCTGAAGTACGGGCCATTACTTTGTTTACATATTTGTATACTAACCTGTACAACGTTATTCCTGAAGATTTTTTATTAGCATTGCTTCTGCTACTGCAACTACGTTGAGAACAAGAAACTATTATTATGCACTATCACAATATATTATTACAGTTTCTATAAAAGTATTATAAAACTTAAAATATTCGAAAAACAACAAACGTAAATAAACTTATACGATCTGTCAAAAGTGTCAAAACAATAGTATTAACAATATGGCCGAAGTGAGGTCGTTTTTAGTCACGTGATGCTCTCTCCATAGATTTTAACTCGATGGTTTCCGACTATGAATTTGTCAAAATATGCCCGAGCTAAGCGAATGGACCTTACCGAGTCACCGCTTTGTGCTTAAAGCACAGAATAATAAACAATTTTTATTTATTCTGTGTTTAAAGCATCGAGCAAAAAGATAAAAGAGGGAACGTAAAGGTAGTGGGAACAAAAATATTGTTAGACAGGAAGTGCTATCTTGAGAAGCCACTTTAAACAAGGAAAGACAGTCTCTTTCCTTGTTTGAGAAGTCAAATTTAGTTTGGTTATGTTATTGTTTGTCCCAACTGTCACATGAAATTTTATTTATATTGAAGTTTTTTACCAATTGTGTCACTTTTTAGACTATTATAGTTAATATTTAATTAAAACTTTCTCGTCTGAAAAATATTTTATAGCTATTGTTAATAAGTGTTGGAAAATTTAAATTTAGCGCCTTTGCATTTCCGGATATGTCCGCCATCAGAGGCCACTTTTTTGGTATTCTCTCTTACATATCTCTGCTTTTTCATAACGATTAAATTCCCTCTTTTATCTTTTTGCTCGATGGTTTAAAGTCAGCTCAGACTAGGAAAGAAATCAGCCGCTGAGGTCGTCTGAACGCAGGAACCATCGAGCAAGAAGACAAAAGAGGGAATCTAATCCTTATGAAAAGGAGACCAAAAAAGTGGCCTCTGATGGCGGACATATCCGGAAATGCGAATGCGCCAAATTTAAATTTTCCAACACTTATTAACAGTAGCTATATAATATTTTTCAGAATGTGTCTTAGACGAGAAAGTTTTAATTAATTATTAACGGTAATAGTCTAAAATGCGACACAATTGTTAAAAAACTTCCATATAAATAAGATTTCATGTGACATTTGGGACAAACAATAACAAAACCAACTAAATTTGATGTCAAACAAGGACAGAGACTCTCTTTCCTTGTTTAATGTGGCCTCACTTTCTGTCTAACACATGGACGTATAAACATAGATAAAGTGTAAACTGTGTTTATACGTCCATGGTCTAACAATATTTTTGCCCCCACTACCTTTACTTTCCCTCTTTTGTCTTTTTGCTCGATGGCAGGAACGCACCCATTAACGATTAACGTAACTTTCATTGTCAGCTGTCATCTTATGTTTTGACTTTTTGACAATAATTGATAAAACAAAAGTAGAGCCAGATACAGCGAGATATTTGTGGGTCCTATATTCTTTGGTCTGATGTTCCTTGTGGGTTCTAATTTTTAATTGTTTATTAAAATATTTCCTTTATTTACAAGAGTACATCTTCCAAAATGATGAACCCACAATCAACATACGCAATTCAAAGTACTGCTGGAGCAGTCCCTATCAGAAATGAAAAAGGTAAATGTCATTAAATATTTAAAGTAAATATATAAAAGTTAACTTTTTTAAAGGAACCATTGCGTTTTTAAGGGTAATATTTTCCCATTTCTTATAAGTTTTATTTCAGGTGAACTGTCTATGCAAAAGGTGAAAGTTCACAGGTATATCTCTGGAAAGAGGCCAGATTATGCTCAAGAAGCACATACAGACAGTGATTCAGGAGAAGAAGATTTTTTGGAGAAAAGAACTCAGTTAGTTACAGTTCCATCTCCAGAACCTATAAGAACTGACGAAGATGATTTGAATGATCCACGTTTAAGAAGATTAAAGATTGCTGAGACCAATACGGAAGTTAGACCTGAGAGGAGAAGACATGTCTTGGAGCCAGAAGTACTGGAATCATCTGAGGAGGAGGAAGAAGAAATTCATTTGGCTGGTAAGTATTATATTATTATTATATTATTCTCATTATTTGTTAACAACAAAGACAATCACTAAATTGTTCTATATAGTTGTTAATAAAGTATGAATATGTGGGTTACTATGATGGTCATCATCATCAGAATGGATAGGCATCCAAAGAAGAAGTACATAATGCCGGAAATAACATAATTCATAGCAGTCAAAAAGCCTATACAGTTCATGGGTGAGTGTATTTACCTGTAGTGGCAAATGATACAAGTTTGATTTCCACTACAAACAGAAAATATGTATATGTATATAGAGCATATAACTTTGTTACAACCAGATTATTGAAATTATTATACAGTATACTCCCTCTATAATAAACACAGTTATAATGAGGTTTCACTTAAGAGGTACATTAGATGTCCTGTGAAATTTCTATTGAACTATAACCCTCTATAGCGAGGCAAATTTGGTTATAACGAGAGAAATGATACATACCATTTTTAACTGCCGCCTGTAATAAACTTCCAAATTACAATTTATTCACAAGTGTCATGTAGGGGTTGACATTGCATCTAATAAAAGGTCCTAATAACAAGATGTGGAAAGTGCTTTAAACGTTGTAAGAAACTTTATCCAAAGACAAAACACAAATGAAGAAGCATACAACTGTTTCATCATAGATACATCTGTTCAGAAAATGACAGACTTCATGCAGAAGAAATAGTTTATGTTATCCTTGAAAATACACTTTATACAGAAAACAGATTTTTTTGTTTTAACATATCATTGACAATAAAAGTAAACAACTCTTTTTTGTTTTAATATATTTCATTGACAATAAAAGTAAACAACCTTTTTTCAAAAATGCCATTCAAACAATATTTAGCATCTTATATTGCTCCTAATGGCTTCACTATAGGAAGTTAATGTTTCAGAAAACTACATATTCATATGTATGCACAGTATTATTGTTGTTTGATATAACGAGATTGGCTTATAATGATGTAATTAGTCAGTCATTTCAGTTCTAGTTATAGAGGGAGTCTACTGTAATTTCAAAAGTACAAAATGTAATGGAGGTGTGGAAAATCACATCTATGACCTTTCATATTTACAATATACTGAGTTATTGAAGAGGACATCTTACTGAATATCATTTCATTATCCTAATATGAGCAGGTTGATTCTAAAGCAAATTAGCTTTTAGAAAGTATGGGATATTTTAATTTATTGTGTAAGTTTTTAAAATGATCTTTTGTTCCTTTTCAAAGCATTTTATTTTCACATTTTTTTATGTTTACAGAACATAAACATACACTTGAAGCTGCTCCTGATGATGATGAATCTGAGGTTGAACTCAGTGATTCTGAAATTGAGAAAAGGAGAGAGTCTTTGAAAAAGAAAATGTTGACTAAACAAGAAGATGAGTTTATGCTAAAAGAAGAAGAAAAAGTTGACTCTTCATCAGATGAAGAATCTTCAGAATATGAAGAATATTCTGAGTCAGAAGAGGAAACAGGTAAGTTTATGCATTTCTGTGTTATACAGTGCAAGGCATTTATTTTATCTCTTAACACTGATAGATGCTGTTGCAATAAAATTGTGTGCCTTCCTGTCTTTGCTATCGAAAAAAAATTCTTATACTAATAATGTTGTAACATTTATATGTTTAATAATGTAACTTTTACACTGTTCTGTTTTGGACTCGCTATCGTCTTCTAAATTTATGATGAAAGTCATGCTCTGAGATGCTCTTCTTCAATTTTTTTAACATACCTGCTAGTATTTGCCCATATCTCTGGAGCAATTTCATTTAGCCTGATTTTTGCTATGTCTTGAATTCCAGTAATTTAAAAGTAGTGTTTCTTGCCACCACTTCATTTTTTTTAAATTCCCATATCTTTTCAGTTAGATTAAGTTCCAGGTGACAAGGTGCTAAACAAAAAACTGAGTAGCTGTACCATGTTAATAATTGGTCTACAGCATGCGCAGGGTTTTTAGGTATAGCATAGGGTATGTTATTCCACAGCTATGGCTTTTTTCACTTTCCTCGAAAAATATATTCCTCTCTGTCAACCATTTTTTTCATGATGTATTTTTATCGAAATTGATGTAGGACATTTTTTAACAGTCACATTATGATAATTTGAGAACAAGTTTGTCTTTCAACCATTTTATATAATTCTAGTTATTCATGTCTTAATAATAATCACCAATTTTTAATCCGGATTTGAAAATGGTAGCAGCATTTCAGATACATAAGATTGTAAGTAAGCACATGTTTTGTCCATCATTCCAACCTTTTGGAACTGCGTGGGAACTATGTATATAAGTCTCTATATACAACATTTCTATATACAAAAATTGTGAAATATATTAAAATTACTTGTATGTTAATAAACAAATATCTTATTTTCAAATTTGTATTTTTGAGTTTTCTTAGAAATTCTGTTGTGTTGGCCCTTATTTCAGTTTTTTTATTAAAATGTTTCTGTTATCTCACTTTTTTCCATCTAAATCCTAATCTTTTCACAATTTGTCTACAAGAAGATAGTTTACCAGTTACAATTCCTATGTTTCGGAATTACAGAAAGACAAAAAAAAACAGATTCATAAACAGCGTTCATGATAGGTCTTCTTTTTAGATATTAGCAGATGTACAAATGGTATTTCTTATAATGTGTTCCTCTAATGGAATAACTGATGTCTTCGGCTAGGCCTGTGAATGCTACTTCTGGGTGAACCAACGGTTGAAGTTGCTGGTTTGTTTTTACCTTCCTTAATTACCCTCTTCATGATACTTTCTGAGACACCAGTTGATTGAGCTACTTGGTCTGTTAGATATAAAGGAGTCTAGCAACATCCTAAATTTGCTTCCTGTTTCATAAATAAATAAATGTTAAAGATAATTTGCCTGCCTTGACCATGTCATATTGATCATCATTATACAGATTGAACCAAATTAAAACGGAACATACAATTTAATACATGTGTGTTTGAACTGCATTTGAAATAGTGGACCAATATAAAACTCGGACAAAAATAAATCCATACCTGGGTATAGACATTGTATAAAATATCGTTCAACTATCTGTCTCACAACAATGTTGTTTGCATAAGACGGGTTTGTCTAAGGAAACGATTATAGTTCAGGAAATAAAGCTCGAAAATAGTTAAAACCTCGCAATTTTTTCGTCCTGCATGTATCCATTTGAAATTTTAACAAAAGGTAGGTGATAGCCCAAGGATCAAAATCTATATCGAACCGAAGTGCGTTGAAGGGTTTTAGAGGTGAAAACTACCCCTAATTGTCAAAAATTATAAAATAACATATTAAACCTGAATATGGGTAAGATTTGGTTTGAATTAGTTAAATAATGATTATTTTATACTTTTGAATAGAGTTCCATCATATTTCAACCCTTAAAAAGCAACCCTTGTTAGAGATTAATGTAAAAAAATTACCAATTATAAAAAAATGATTTCGCCTTGGATCGATTTGGATAAAAATTTGGATTTAAGCTCAATTCACCCGCTGCTTTATAGTTTATGTCATGTCGACGAACCCTGATTGTTCTAAGGGGTGAAAACTACCCGTAATTTTCAAAAATTATAAAATAACATATTAAACCTGAATATGGATAAAATTTGGTTTGAATTAATTAAATAATGACAGTTTCGTGCTTTTGAATAAAGTTCCATCATATTTCAACCCTTAAAAAGCGACCCTTATTAGAGATTAATATAAAAAAATTAGTAATGCGAGAAAATGATTTCACCTTGGAACGATTTGCATAAAAATTTGGAATTAAGCTCAACTCACCCTCTGCTTTATAGTTTATGTCATGCGGATGAACCCTGATTGTTCTTAGGGGTGAAAACTACTTCTAATTTTCAAAAATTGTAAAATAATATTATAAATCTTAAGATGAGTGAAATTTGGTTTGGATTAGTTAAATAGTGATTTTTTTATACTTTAAAATACAAATTCATACATTTTCAACCCTTAAAAATCAATTGTTATGAGTGCTATAGGTGAAAACAATTTTTTGCCAAAATTTTGCAACTTTTCAACTTTTGAAAATCACCCTTTACAACATTACAGTTTTTGTAAACTAATTTATAAGATATAAATTGAAAAAAGTAGAATTAAATACAAAAAAATTTATCAACATAAAAAGGCACCATATATTCTTATACATTTACATAAATAGTTGAAAATATTTACATTTATAGGTAAAACAATTGTAATATTAATTTTATTCGTCATCAATTACATCTTCATCGTGATCTATGTCATCCTCATCTTCAATTATTGGTGGACTATTATTGCACCCTTCACCTGAGCACCCAGAACAAGTAGAGTTACAGTATAAACCAACTTTTCTGCACCCACATGAAACACCGCATCCTTTTTTGCATTGCCAAAAAATAATTTTCAAAAGTTCATCGAGTGCAGGTTGTTTGTTCATGCGTACGGGTAATAACAAACCATCTTTGGAATACCATCCCCAATCTGTTGCTCTAATATTTTCATTGCCAAGCCATAGACATATGAGCAGATGTTTTATTCTGTTGTATGGGATTTCAAAATAAGAACTCTTAAAATTTCGAATGTATAACGCCCCACTAGCTAATATACCGGTTTTGTAGATTATTATGCTCCGAAATGTACTGTATTATACTAATAGAATTTTCCGGAAAAAAATTCACTGGTTTTTTTTAACGTATTTCCTTTAATTTTTAACGATAGAGTGTTTCTTCAAAAACGATTTGTAGAGGTTTTTAAGAGCTACAAGAATCTGTGAATTAAATCTTTTTGGAAGCCTTGGTTTTTAAATGGGGTGAGTTTAAAGGGATCGAAAAAGATGGTGCTTGATCGTAAATCGATGCTTTAAACGGCTATATCTTGCCAAATATTCATTGTACAACAAATCTAAATGAAGGATAATTTTAATCATTAAAAAAGCTACAATTTGGTAATTTGTATTTTTTTCATATATTCAGTATTTTCGGGCATATTTAAAAAAAAAGGGTAAAAAATATGAAATTGTAAATCGTTTCTCGCTTTAAGCTGTACTTTTTCTAACACAAAGCATTTTAAATGGGTCAAACTTCTTGGACATATTAACAATACATGTACAAAGGGAATTTCAGAAGGGTGAAGATCGATTTTAATTATGGGGGTGGTTAGGGGGTTGTTTTCATCGATTTTTTCGTAAAAAATGAGGTATTGACCTTATTTTCATCATAACTCACTCAATTTTTCAGCTAGAGTCTTTTTTATGATAGGTCTATTTATGCTCTTTAAAAAAGGTTTAGTGAGTTTTCTTCCAAAAATGCATCATTTTCCCGATATTTGATTTTGAATCTTTCAAATTTGGCATTTGAAGAAAACCGCTGAACATTGATAGGCCGTATTTCGGTTCCTGTTATATCCCAAAAACATTTTAAAAAATGAATTGTATTTGTCTTTTTAAAAGCTACAAATTGTTCTCTACAATTTTTTTGATAAAATGCACCATTTTCGAATTATTCGCGAAAAATCGATTAAAAACGTGGATTTTTTCGTCTAAAAGTTATTACTTTCAATCGCGAATAACTTGAAAAATATCATTTTATAAAAAAAATGTATAGCACATTTTTTGTTTAGAATCACTTTTTTAATCGAAACCTGTAGTTAAAACGTAAAAAAAAATTTCACCCCGGAGGTGGGGTGGCAACCACCCCCTAGGCTTTGGTGCACTTTGGTTCGATATAGATTTTGATCCTTAGGCTATTACCTACCCTCTGTTAAATTTCAAGTCAATCCAGGGAGCACGAAATAATTGCGAGGTGAAATGCTTCATTTCCTGGACTATAACTGGTTTGACAGCATAAATCGTAGATTTATGTGTAGCTTTCAATTTTTATGAGTTCAGAATCCAGCAGCCCACTGAAGTATTGGATTTTTATAATACAAATATTTGACAATATTTTGTTGGCCAACCACCTACAGCAGAATTGAGCCGAAATACATTATATTCCTATGTTCCGAATTTATTTCGTTCAATCTGTATGTGATTACTGAAAGCCAATGGAGGGCCATAGTTGCTATTTGGCTCTAAAGTTTTACATGGTGTGGAGGCCAACCCACACGCATAATTCCTCAAAATGTCCAGCATTTAATATCTGAAATTGTTACTTTCTAGTTTGTGTTCTTTGAGGAGATCATTTCACTGTCATGTATAATTTGCTTTCTTGACTATAGTTGACCATGTTTTTTCCTTTGCTTGTTTTTTCTATTCTTGTATTCCTATTTCTTTTTAATTCTGGTTACCATCGAACCATCTCTTTTTGGGTGTACCTCTCTGTCTCTTCCCATTTAATTTTTTTCTAAGTACTGTTTTTGTATTTCTCTTATCATCCATCCTTTTTATATGTCTTAAGTAGTTGTTCTTCTTGTTCACTAGTCAAAGTCCATGTTTCTGATGCATAAGTTACTACAGGTCTCATACCTGTTGTGTATATTTTTATTTTTGAGTTAGTAGATACTAATTTTGACTTTATAATATTCTGTAGGCTGTAGAAGCATTTGTTTCCAAGTGAAATTCTCGCTGTTTTTATTTCCTTCATAGACTTCAAAGAAACAGACAGCATGGTGGTCCAAAGAAATAAAAAAGCAAGTAAAAGTGAAGAAAATGCATGGAAGCAATATCTGAAAGACAAAACAAAAGAGAAGTACAATAAAGATAAAAATGAAAGAAAGTTAAAATTTTGGTAACAGCAGCAAAGAGAGACAGTTGAGAGAAGTTCAGAGAAAAAAGGGAAGGAGATAGCAAAAGTAACCTAAAGGATCTATAGAACCCTGAAGACGATAAGAACACAAAAAAACATGAAATATTCATCATTAACAATAAAAATGGAGAAAATAATAACAGAAACAACAAAAATTTAAAATATGGAAACAACACTCCGAAGAACTGATAACGGATATTGGAAGATAATATAGAAATCTCAATAAACGAGGAAGAACTAGAAGAGGCAATAAAAACGTTGAAGTCTGAAAAAGCTCCTGAAGTAGCTAGAATAACAACAGAAATTAAAAAAAAACATGGGTAAAAATGGAGAACAAATATTAGTAATAATAATGAATAAAATATGGAAAAATAAAGATCTACCGGAAGATTGAAAAATGTCACTAATAGTACCCATATAAAAAAAAGGAGATAGGAAAGAATGTAATAACTACAGAGGATTGACATTGCTATGTAAATGTATGAAACTTAAAAATAATAAACAAACAGGTAAGAATAATAACAGAACACACATTTGACGAAGCACAAAGTGGATTTAGAAGTGGTAGGAGTAAACAGGATCATATATTTACTTTAAAACAGATAACAAAAATCGTTGCAAGAGAAAAATAAAATATACTCTCCTATAGAAAAAATATTCCAAATATTTATATAATATTACATATCTCCAAAATTCTCACAACTCTTCCGAATAACTTCACTATGGTCTCCTTCGATGTAACAAATCTGTTCACCAATGTTCCCAGATTAGACACCATTCCAATCATCAATAACCTTCTACAAAGAAAAAACATTGACCAAAATAAATGTTCACAAATTACTTCTCTACTCCAATTTTGCCTTTCCCAAGATTTCTTTATCTTTAACGATAAAATTTATAGACAACCAGAGGGTTTAGCAATGGGAAATCCTTTATCTCCTCTACTTGCAGATCTTTTTCTAGACTCTCTCGAAACTAACTTTGTTCATTCTCAACCACAAATAATCCTATGGTACAGATATGTGGATGACATTTTAGCCTTTATAGAAGGCCCACCTTCAGAACCTCACAATATTTTGTCAATAATTAATAATCTACATCCTGCAATTAATTTTACCTTAGAAGTAGAAAGCAACAACATTATCAACTTTTTAGACCTAACTATCAAAAAGAATACTTCCTCCTTTTCTTCTTTGCCTACACTAGAATTTTCAATATTCAGAAAACCTACTCAAACTGACCATATGATACCAACATCATCAAATCATCCTTTTCAACACAAGATGGCAGCTATTCAATGTTATGTCCACAGACTTCTTAATATCCCTATGTCTCAAGAAAATTACAATAAAGAAATCTCCATCATTAAACAGATAGCAAACAACAATGGTTTTCCTTCTACTACTGTTGATAAAGTCATTAGAAAATCTATACTCAAAAAGAGACTAAACCAAGCTTTTAATGTTGATAACAAATCCAACACTACTTCCATATATAGATCCTTAACTTACTTAGGACCAATTTCAGAAAAAATTTCAAGAGTACTTGTTAATAAAATTAATGACTTAAACATCTCCTTTAAAACCAAATATAACATCAAGTCCATCTTCAGCAAGACCAAAGACAAAGTTGACAAACTAAACAGAAGTGGTATTTACAAGCTGTCCTGTGGTGACTGTAATATGACTTATGTAGGTAGAACAATGAGAACTCTGAATCAAAGAATCAAAGAACACCTCAATAACCCAGAAAAATCAAACTTTGGATATCACATTAAATTTAATAATCATTCTTTTTCTCCTTCTGAAAACAGTAAAATTTTACACAACATTCCTAATAAAAACTTTAGACTCATGAATCTCTTGGAAGATCTAGAGATATCCAAAGAAATGAAAATAAACCCTGATTGTTGCTTAAACACACAAATCAACCTCAATTGCAACTATAAACCTCTTTTTAAATTATTATGGGAGACTTTAGAGGAAGAAGGGTGACCTCATGCAATCTTGTTATATATTTTTCATACTTTTATTTTTTAAACAAATTTTAAACTTTATTAAAATTTACAACATTTTGTAATTCATTTGACAGTTGTTCTTAATTGAAACATGAAAATACATTCTTAAAAAATTTTTTATGCAAAGTTCTTACAATTTTCCATCAAGACATACAATTCTTAATACACTTAAGTATCAGATAACATAACATTAATACCAGGTTTCTTCTTTATAGTGTTGTTGAACAATTTGAGCCCTTGTTCCTTAAGGATAGCTGTCAGATTGAACATACATTGACCTTGAGCAATGACTTGAGTGAATTTACAAATTAATGTCATTCTGTATGATGTGATGAACACATAAAATTTAATTTTAAAAACTTAATTTTTAGAAAGTCTTTGATGACTAGTAGTAATTCCAAACTACTAAATAATTTTGTAAGAATTTAAAAAAACAATCTCTATTTCCTATATATGACATTTGTCACCTGTCACTTTTGAAAAATCGTTTAAAAGGACCGACATTTGATTTCACTAGTTCTATTCAGTCTACGTCCTCACATCAATAGATGGTCGGGTCTTAAACCCGTACCATGACAAAAAATTTTTCAATTTTTTAACGTGTTTGTGACGTCCAGTGTCGACCTTTTATATGTTTTTTATATGTTTTAAAAATTCCAACTCCTACAAAATCATAATTGTGAAACTTAAGGAAATGAGATCTCTCCTTTGTAGTGGTATTTAAAAATTGACGTAAGTTAAAAATTACAATCTTTACCAATTAGTACTTATTAGAACATTTTATTGTAGCATAGCTCTGATGATGGCTTTGTAAAGCCGAAAGCGCTCAGCTAGGAATTGCCTAAAATATACACACTTCAAAAATACTTTTTTGCATTTTCTTTCGACTTGTCATAAGTGTGTACAAAAAATATCAGTCTTTTGATTATTAGAAAAAATATTCCTTGGTATAGAAAAAGCCTTCGATAAAGTAGTAAGACAAAAACTATTTAAAAATATTAAGAGAAAAAGGAATGGACAACAAGTTGCTAAGAATGATACAAAAAATATACAATGAAAACAACAATGCCGTAATTAGTAATAATACAACATCAGAAACATTTACAATAAATAGAAGCTTCAGACAGGAAGGAGTACTTAGCCAATACTATTTATAATATTTATGGATGAAATTATTAAGATATGCGCAACAATAAGTAAAAAACTAAATATAGGATTTAGAAATCTGCAAAGGGTCGAAATCTCGGAAGGAGTATTTGCTGAAGATTTGCTGCTAATTGCAACAACCGAAAAAGAACTTCAGAATAATTTGGAAAAATGGAAAGAAGTACTCACTGAAAACGGAATGAAGATAAATATTAACAAAACAAAAGTTATGCAGTTAGGAGAAACAAGAGAAGAATTTAATATATAAGTTGAATGAACTAAAATAGAACAAGTTAAGACTTTTACATACTTAGGAGTAATAATACAAGAAACAGGATCTCTAGAAGCTGAAATCAGTAGTAGAGTAGAGAAAACGCTATAACTGTATCATATAATGAATAAAAAAAATTATATGCAGAAAAGAAATATCACGGAATACAAAAATGAAAGTTTTCAAATCAGTTTATAGACCTGTCTGTTGTTAGTTGCTCTGGAAATCTCAGAGTCTTCTAACATTATTGCCACAAATTGGTCGCATTGCTCCTGTAGTGATCCTTTCCCAAGTTAACATGCTCCTTTTTTAATTTGGCTGCACCATACTGAAGACGACCAATAGACAGAAATATGTATATACGGTTGCCTTCCATCTTATACACATAATTTTTTTCCTTTGTTGCGATCTATGCCGATACCTTCTACCTTTATTTTACTATTCACTCATATTAACCTTTTCTTGAAAATTTGTTATGTATTTCTTGTATTTATTTCAAGCTGTATTTTTTGTATTTAGACATATTTTAATACCTTATTCTGTAAAAAGTTTATGTGAATTTTTATGTATGTTCTATATTTTTATACATTTATTGATGTAAATAATTATATAATTTCCTATTCACTGTCTTTTCTTGTTTTATATAAAATTTATGTTTTAGGTCCCAGGTTAAAACCAGTTTTTGTCAGAAAAAAAGAAAGAGTTACTATAATAGAAAAGGAAAAAGAGGCTCAAAGGCAAAAGAAAGCGGAAGAAGACGCGCAACGCAGCGCAGAAGAACGAAGAAGGCAAACCCTCAAAATGGTAGAAGACACTATCCGCAAAGAACAACAAAAGGATAAGACAACAAATGAACCAAGTATTGATGATGTTTGTACAGATGACGACAACGACGAAGTAGAGTATGAAGCTTGGAAGTTGAGAGAACTGAAAAGAATTAAAAGAGATAGAGAAGAAAGAGAAGCAATAGAAAAGGAAAAACTGGAGATCGATAAACTAAGAAACCTTACAGAAGAAGAAAGAAGGTTACAGTTAAGATTAGTACCGAAGAATGTAACGAATAAAGCTGTCAAAGGAAAATATAAGTTCTTGCAGAAATACTATCATAGAGGGGCGTTCTATCTAGATAAGGAAGATGATGTGTACAAAAGAGATTTTACTCAGGCAACTTTGGAGGATCACTTTGATAAGACTATTCTTCCCAAGGTTATGCAAGTTAAGAACTTTGGTAGGTCTGGCAGGACAAAATATACCCATTTGGTTGAGCAAGATACAACTAAATTTGATTCTCCATGGTCTGTAGAAAATACCCAGAATATCAAGTTCCATTCACAACAGGCGGGTGGAATTAAGCCAATGTTTGAAAAACCATCACTTAAAAAGAGGAAAACATAAAATGTGATTTTTAAACAGTGGTTTTACAAAAGAAGTGACTTTTATTCGCAGGGATCTGTAGAGCCGAAAATAGTGTAAATAAAATATTTTATAAGATTATGTGTATTTAAATAAACTTATGATTTAAATAAATTCGTTGTTAGTTTATTCGTTTACTTTTCTAAAATAACACTTTTATCATAAATATTGCTCATTCAACAGAGGTATATGGATGGTGGTTTCTGGGTATTTGTACATATAGTCGTAGCTCATATGAATATATGGTAAAGGTAATGGATTTTGACAAGAGCTGTGACCTTGTAAATAACAGGTAAACTTGTGTAGTAAATCGGCATGACTCATAGTTCTTGTTAAAATCCATTACCTCTACACATTTTCAGACCAAAGGGGGAAGAAGATGTAATGATAAATTGCTTTATAGACAGCTGTAGACATGTTATGTCTACAGCTGCGGTATTGTTAAAGGCAGTAAAGATCGGATGTGGACGTTCAACCACTCTGGACGGCCGATCGTTGATTCAGGATGTGTTCCTTCATTCAATTCAGATTCAAATGTGCGACATTTTTTTCCTTGTGATTAATGAAGGATGTGTTTGAATGACCATGTCCTATATCCGTGGATAATAGTTCGACGTTCTACTAAGCACCTATATCACTTTAAATAAAATTTGATGGTTACCCCATGTAATGACCTGCTATATCGTATGATTTTTCATATTGACTAAGGAGGCATTTTCAGTCAAACGGGTGTTTATACTGCGTTTCGTCGTTCCAATGTACTCATTCACGTGTCATTTCTGCTACGAATGTTAGTTATTATAATCCCCTATTCTCGGTATGGTAGTTCTTATGGGCTCGACGTCATTTACATGTAATCAAACCTCAAAATTTGAGCGTCATTTTGTGTAACTAATTTACTCATTCAAGTGCCATTTCTGCTACGAATGTTAGTTGTTATTAAATGTTGTGTATTAATCTGTACATCACAGATCTGGCTTCGCCCTATATAAAGATATGAAGTGGAAGATTCAGCAGGAATTCCAACGCCGCTGTAAGAGTTGTTTTTATAGCCCCCGTAATAAACAGACGTGCTACACGTTTATTGCTCCTACTTGCTGCATGTTTGTTCACTACGTTACAGACCCATAGGTTATCATTGGTCTAATTGTGTATGTATATTATATATAACTATGTGTAACCAAAGTCATTTTGCGGTTGAAGTCCAATTCTTACCACACATCCTTCTACATATGCTTAAGGACATAGCATCTTTCTGTGTGGTTTTCAGTATGTGAGTAATTCATGTAATCCTGTAAAATATACCCTAAGTACTTTGTTTCTTTGGCAAATTGAATCCTTATTCCTCCCAGCACTGGTGGTTTCAGGCCTTGTAATGTCTGTTTTGTGATAATAATAATAATAATAGCGTTTATTGTCCAACAGAATTCATTTATAGGACAAAATACAATACTAAAGTTAAATGAAATATTAATAATTCATAGGATACCCTTACTAACCATCTAACTAATAACACATTTTTCGAGTATTTAACATAAAGAAACTACTTAATCACCTAGGTAGATCTCAGCCATTCTAGTAAGCTGCTTTAAACTGCAGTGAAATATATCGCAGTAAGCACTTAAGGAATTATAATAGTTGCACATGAGAAATAGAGGAGAATTTAACATAAGATTAGTTCTAGCTTGTGTATTTCTGAACGTAATCGAATTTCTCACTGGATAAGATGGAACGTTAAAATTTATTTGTCTAAGAATATCAGGGCAGTCAATGAGATTATGTAGTAGCTTGTACAGGAATATTAGCGACCATAGCCAACTATTATGTAAAATAAGAATCACCATGAAATACTTCAAAGCCAAGAAAGCGGCGCCAATACAAACAAAAATTAGAGTCGAAGTAGTAAATACGGAATCCACGAAATACATATACAGAAAAAAAAAGAATATTAGAGAAGGTTGCTGGGAATGAAATATTAGAAAACGATAACATCGAGGAAAGATGGGAAAAACTTGAACACTAAAAACGAACACTAACATATGAAAAATAAAACCCCATGGTTTAGAGAGGAAATGAAAACAAGATGTGAAGAAAAGAAGAAAACCTTTTTACAATACTAGTTAGACAAATAAAAAGAGAACATTGGCAGAACTTTTCAAAACAGATGGAACACGAGTTCTAGGGAACATAAAAGGAAATATGGAGAATGATCAGAGGACAAAGAAAAGATATGAACGACCTAATAAAAACGAAACACATTCACAGGGAAACATGGGCAGACTACTTTCGATATCTATTTGCTAAACGTATGCCTTTCATGGGGTTAACAGATGTGCAAAGAGGAAAATATTATTGGTCCTGTGGAGCAAGGAAAGTCTCAGAGGGACCTAGCTGCAGTGGTAGGCGTAACACAGGGTGTTGTGTCAAAAACCTACACTAGGTATCAGGAACGTTTAAGAATATACCAAGATAAAGTCGCTAAAAAGTAACAAAGGCTTGCCACGATCGTTTTATTGTCCAAGTAGCCAGAAGAAACCCAACAATTTCTCACCCGCAACTCCAAAAGCAGCTTTTAGAAGGTACAGGTGTAAGTGTTTCAGTTGAAACAATAAGAAGACTTTGTGCCCAAAGACTATACAGCAGTAGATAGTTACGGGTTCTCGAGTTAACCAGGCAGCACAAGATTGATCGCTAAATTGGTGTCTTCAATACCAAAACTGGAACATTGGAAATTGGCAAAATGTGCTATTTTCAAGACGAAACCAGGATTTGTGTAAAATCATATGACTGATGAATTCGTGTACTTAGAGGAGAAGGAAGACAAGTAAGAACGGAAACAGCCAGATCTGTTCACAGACATAAAGGAGGAAGTTATGTTCTGGGAAGTAATATGGTCGGTGAAAAAACTCTTTAATTTCATTCAACCAACTTTAATAGCTCGCAGGTATGTTGATTTGGTTCTAGAACTTGTAGTTAGACTCTGAAAAAGTGCAGTGGAAAAAAATTTATTTTCATGCATGATACTGCACCTCCACATACCAGCAGAGTCACTACAGACTTCCTTGAAGCAGAAGATATCACTATTCTGTAGTGGCCTGCTTGCTCACCCGACCTTAACCCTATAGAGCATTTGTGGGATATGCTTAAAAAAGAATTAGACCTCGCCGGGATAATCCACAAAACACCGTACAGCTAGTACAAGCTATCCTTGAAGAAATGAAGCAATCTACCACAATAAAATGTTGATAATTTGTTTAGGAGCATGCCCACGCGAATTGGAGCTTGCTAACTAATTCACAGGGTTAATCACATCGACTACTAAAAAAAAAACATAAATAAAAACAATTTAAAGATCATTCCTTGTACATTGAAATTTTGTATACTTTAAAACAAATAATTTCAATTTTATTATTTAAGAATTTATGGGCTTCTTTAATTTTTATGTATTGGTGATTAAATTGCTTTAAAATAAATATTCGTTGACTTCGTAAGTTGGTTTTTTTAAACTCTCTTTGATCATATTGAGAAATATCAGATGACTTCATATAAGATATAAGTTTGGTTGTATGTAAATAATATGGATAAAGAGTGATATTAAATCATTTAAAGACAATAAATATTATTGTATAAATTTTCTAAAGCCTTTATTTCTTTATAAACAATGTTATTTTTTTAATAAAAAATATTTATTTAATAAACATTTTTGTAAATTTATAAACCAGTATGTATGACGTATAATATTCCGCTTTTATTATTTTTCTTTCTTAAAGTGCCCTCTCCTCAATGGAGGTTGGCTACTACAATTTTAAAACTCTTCTCTATCTTCAGCTGTTCTTATTACTGTTCAAAATTTAGCCCTGTCCATTGTCGGATGTTTCTGAGCTACGATAGTCTTTTCCTTCCTAGACCTCTCTTTCCCTCGATTTTTCCTTTCACTATAAGTTGGGCATATTGGTACTTATTATTTCTCAGTATGTGGCCTAGGTATGATGTTTTTCTAACTTTTACTGTGCTAAAAAGTTCTCTTTCCTTGCCTATTCTATGCAGCACTTCTTCGTTTGAGGTATGCGATGTCCATTTTATTAATTTATTATAAATATATAAATATTATTATCAATTTATAACAATGTATTAGAGTAATATTAATAACTGAAAAGTAAGTAAGTAAATAATTATTACAAATGTTTCGTTTGAATGTTTTATTGTTTCTTTTATAAAATACTGTTGTTTATACGAAAACAAGAACTTCACTAGTCACACTTCTTGTTTACACCACAGATCACCTACCTCCCGCTACGCTAATATGACAATTGGCGATTGACATTGACAATTATAATTCTTAGTTGTGTTCTAAACCTAAACTGCAGAGTAAAAGTAGAGACAGAGTGAAGCGACATCTGAAGATTAGTATCGGTACTACAAATGACATTCAGTTTAATTTGACCTTGAGCTACCTACGTGAAACGTCTAGTTATTAGTGGTCTGTGGTTTACACATTATATGATTCAAGGTTAACATCTTACCATGTCAAGGTTATAAGTCATCAACAACAGTACTATTACATACGCTAAATATAAAATTAAGTGAAAATGATTTAAATTATTTCTTATTTCTGTCATTTTTCTTAACTTAATGTGTTTTAAATATTTATTTAAATATTTTTGGGACATCGTTGCTTCATTTATGTTATTTGTTAGGTATTAATGCTAAAGGTGTTTACAAGGTTAAATTTTTATTGCACAATAATAAAAGATTGTAATAGCACCACTTTTTTAGAAGCTTAAATTCTTACTTGTTAATAAAATCTGCACCAAAGATTCAAGATACATATAATCGAAAGTCTCATCTTCTAGTTAAAATTCATATAAATTGCCCAGCTTAATATGCTGACAAAGGGAAAGGATTTTTTTATTTCAATACAAAACCACATCATCCGCGCAGGGATATTAGTAGATATAACAAATACAAGAAATATTACATTAAATACAATTGAATAACTGAGTGTCTTTTAAATAACTTGTAAGGGGAGAAAGGGGGAGGTCTGGGACAAGGGAGGTGTGGAACATTTCAAATTGCCCACCTTTATATGTGAACTATCAGTTCTATACCTTCTCACTCGATGTATTACT